GGATAGTCCATTTCACAGTGGGTCCCTCTGTGGAAGCTGATGATATGAGATTTTCCATAGTCTCTTTCTGCAGATGTAGTCAATTAGATTCCTGTGTATTCCATCCAGTGAGGTCCACAGGTATAGTCACCATTCATGCTATTGAAAAAAGGCATTTGCACTGAAGAAGCTGTTGGTCTTGCAAAATTCTATCATATAATACCAGTGTCATTTCTATCACCAAGGCCATATTTTCCAACTACTGATCCTTCTTCTGTGTTTCCAACTTTCACATTCCAGTCACCAGTAATTATCAATGCATCTTGATTGCGTATTTGAACAATTTCAGACTGCAAAAGTTGGTAAAAATCTTCAGTTTCTTCATCTTTGGCCTTAGTAGTTGGTGCGTAAATTTGAATAGTCCTATTAACTATTGGATATTAGCCTATCACCAACAGCGTTGTAATCCAGGATAGATCTTGAAATATTCTTTTTGAAGATGAATGCAATGCCATTCTTGTTCAATTTGTCATTTCCGGCATAGTAGACCATATAATTGTCTGACTGAGAATGGCCAATACCAGTTCATTTCAGCTCACTGATGCCTAAGATATCGATGTTTGCACGTTCATTTCATTTTTGACGACTTCCAGTTTTCCTAGATCCATACTTTGTACATTCCACATTCCAATTATTAATGGATGTTTGCAGCTATTTCTTCTCATTTTGAGTCATGCCACATCAGCAAACGAAGATCCCAAAAGCTTAAATCTGTCTACATCATCAAGGTTGACTTTACTTTGAGGAGGCAGCTTTTACCCAGTAGTATTGAGTGCCTTCCAACCTGAGGGGCTCCTCTTCTGGCACTATACCAGACAATGTTCCACTGCTATTCATAAGGTTTTCACTAATTAGTTTTTTCAGAAGTAGACTGCCAGGTCCTTCCAAGTCTATCTTAGTCCGGAAGCTCTGCTGAAACCTGTCCACCATGGGTGACCCTGATGGTATTTGAAATAGTGATGGCATAGCTTCCTGCATCACAGTAACAAGCAAGCCACCACAGTATGACAAACTGACAGACATGTGGAGATTAAGTCTTGAATTGTGCAGCTTCTGTCCCAAACCTATTTTTTAATATCCTTAAAGCAATAGCTTCTTCTCAAACATGTTACTCTATAAATGATTTAGTGATTCCAAAAGTAATCACCAGCCTTATGTATAGGGAATTTTAGACTTTGTTTACACAATAGCAATCATGCAAATGAAAAGTTAAAAGAAAAATGGTATTTCTTATTTGGCAGTAAAATTACTGTTTTAATACTGAACTTTTAAAAAATTGTCAGGCTAGTTCGCTGATGCAAGCAAATATATTAGTATACTTATTACCCAGGGCAGAAAATTTGTCTTGTTCACTGCTCAATTACTATATCCTGAAATACAGTCTGGTACAGATTATGGCTCAATAAATTTTTTTGGAATAAAATATTGGTTAGCTGAATAAATGATGTTGTTATGTAATTGAATAACACTGTTTCTTAAATGACTTGGGAGTAATCAACTGAGGATTTTCCACAATCTACATAACTGGAAAATAATAAAGACGTGTTGCAAGTGCTATAAGATCCTTCATATATTTCTCGAGTGACATGAATAATCCCAAAATAAAGATCAAAGTTAAAAAGACTACATTCCATTTTCAAGATTTGTACATTTTTGCAGATTTCTCTTTACATTCATGGCTGTTTGAGCTCTTCACTATCAAATCACAATCGGTCCTTAGAGTTACCCTGGTAGTCAAAACAGATCATATTGTTAGAGCAAAAATCTAAGACTATGTTTAACTTCAACCACTTTACACACTCAGAAATTTATAAAATTTGAGGATATTTTTACTTACACTAAACCAGGAGCTACATGTCTATTAAATTTGCAGAAGACCATCCATAAGCAACAGAAGTTAGAAAAGTAATAAATTTTCTAATATTTCCATTTTTGTTATATTTATGAGATTTTCCAAGGTAAATATAAAATCATTATTGTGTCATTAAGTTACTATAAAGTCCAGAATTGGATTCAATATGTAGAGAAACCTGAACCATGGATTTGCTATTATTTAAAAAATGGTGTTCTGGTTTAAAAAAAAAAAAAAAGAATTAATGCGTCATTATTATAAAAGGTAAATTCACTGTATTCTGTCTTTTCCTATTCACCATAAAATAGTTTGTTCTAAGAAACACTTGGACATTATCATCTTTAGTACTTTTTAAGAAAAATCTATTTGGGAAATCATTTAGAACCTCCAGAAGGGAGAGGGTAAAAGAAAGAGCTAGGGGACAGGCCCATCAGTAGATGCAAATAATTGCTAACTTTCTTGTTCTTAGGTTTAGTGGAGAGTTCAAGAGTATTGTATTATTACGTCTTTTCACTTATATTTTTGTTACATGTAAGTGACAAAAACCAAAAAACCAAACCCATTGCCGTCTAGTTGATTCTGACTCATAGAGACCGTATAGGACAGAATAGAACTGCCCCACAGGGTTTTCAAGGAGTGGCTGGGGGATTTGAACTGCTGACCTTTTGGTTAGCAGCTGTAACTCTTAACAGCTGTGCCACCAGGGCTGCATGTAAGTGATGCATGTACCAAATATTATATTAAAGTAATAAATGAAGTTCATTTTCAGAAATGCAAAATGTAGTTAAAATTATTTATAAATATCAATTATGCTGAAATATTTTCAACTGTACAAATATGCTGAAAACACATCAGAAAAAACATTGTTCAGATTTGCATCAATTAGAGTAGATCTTAATATTTTTACATGAGATTTTTACATATCATCTGATTAAGGTATGAATATAACTTTTCTTGATTAACTTGACAGAAATCAGTGGAAGATTTTTCTGCAACGGAAAATAATGAAGATACACTGTTCATTCATTTTAATTAAAAGAAAATGGTTTTTTTGTTTGTAGTTAAATTCTAAGAGAATTTAAGATTAGGAAGATTACCCTAATTTAAGAGTACAGCTTATTATTTATAACAATCCTTGTTTTTAATTATGTGGTTAAAAACTGTATAGGTTTATAGGGTTTTTTTCTTGTGTAGGTAGGGTATTATACCAAAAGGGAAACTGAAATTAATTAGAAGCATTTCATTTAGGTATTAAATAAACTAAAATTTGCATAGGTTACCAAGAAATTACAACCAGAAACTACAATATACAATTTAATGTAATTGATAAGATATAATAAACTGATAGAAAATATCAGTTTTCCAATATCTAGAAAATTCAATTTTTTAATGCAAAGTAAACATCAATACTGAAGTATTGATATATAATATGTTTAAAAAATTAAAATAAATTTTGACAAATTACAATAAAAACAAACCAAACCTGCTGCTGTTGAGTTAATTCCAAATTACAGTAAGTAGTTTATTAAAATTACATTGGATTATGCTAGAACTAACATTGCCAAATATAAACAATGTCTGGGCTCTCAAAAATTCTTTTACATTATTATTTATGTTTTCCTTCTTTCTCTTCGGCTCAGAGGATTAATTGACTAATCTATCCCAACCCATCTCCTACTCCCCCTGGACAGATCTTCACTGGTTGCAAGTGAGAACCGACTAACTTATGTTATTTTAAGCCAAAAAGAAAAGGACATTTACTAACACATATAAAAAGTAAGTCAAGAGGGTTCATTTGACTTTAGGTTGCTGGGTCCAGGAATTAAAGCAATGTCAGGAATTAAAGTACCGACATCGGTTGTCTCTGTCTATTCAGCTTTACTCTAATTGGAAAACGTTATCAGGCCGACTCTACCCAGAGAGTGATGACAAGGACCATTGGAAGATCGACAGATCCACGTTTATATTCTCTCCACTTGGTGAATCTGACGAAAAGTGAAGGCATTTTATTCAATTAATTCTAGATAATTCCCAGGGCTGACTCCCATTGGTACTCCTCAGTCATATGTATATTCCTGAAACAGTCTTTGTGAAGGGCTCTTACTGGCTAGATTTGAGTGATAAACAAGTGGTTTAAGATTGGGAGAAAATGGTTCTTAAAGAAAAATCAAACACAGTAACCAAAATAAAGATGAAGAGATTCTGGGCTTAAATCAACAAATAAAAATGCCCATATAGCCCTTATCACCTACTACTCAAACATACACTTTTTCCCATATGTACAATATTTTAAAATGCCCCTGTTTTGATACAATGAACTCACTCCCTCTGTATTTATGGATATAACTCAACTTAATCAATGTAATCATGAAGAACTCTGGGATGTCATAATGATATGCACTCCCCTTGGTCAAGCACTTCAAGGGTAAATGAGTGATTCAGCTACTTCAAACCTACCCAGTACCCAATGTGGGGAAAGCATTCGCTACAACAAATATTCATTTTTAGAAAGTGGAAGAATGGGAAGTTGTACACAACAGTCAATGGTTTACAGCAGATAGTATATTCTCCTAACAAGAATTGGAAGTATCCTAGTTGAGTGAATTAATTCCATTTTCTGTTTATTACATCTCAAACAAACATTTTTATACTATCCCTTCAGTGCCCATCTCCTCCATTCTTCATACATGATCAAACTTATGCGATTTAAAGAAGCTTCAACCTCATCAAACTGCCTCTACTTTTGGCAAATGCTCTTTTATATTCCATATTTTCACTCCCAGATCTTGAGATAGTGGTTTCTCTTCTCTCCCTCCATTTCTCTTACAATTAATTCTCACCATAAAGTCTTAAATTGTACACCTCAATCATATCATTATTCTGAAAAAACTCATTAAAAATCAGCCAAGTTCAAAGTTCTTTTATCAAAGATGACTCAATTTAATCTATCTACAGACTTCAATAGTATTACAAAAACTGCATCTTAAAAGGTTAACCACTGGGTTAATAACCAAAAGGTTAGTGGTTTGAACTTACCCAGAGGCACCTCGGAAGAATGGCCTGGTGATCTGTTTCTGAAAGATCACAACCATGAAAAGTTTATGGGTTGGTGTTTGCTTCAGCAGCACATATACTAAAACTGGAACAATACAGAGTAGATTAGCATGCAAATGCGAAAGGATGCATGTAAATTTGTGACGTGTTCCATATATTTTTAGCTTAACTAGTAAAAAAATGTCTGCCTTGAGCATTATGCTCTTAAGAACTATCTGTATTGGAAACCCTGGTGATATAGCGGTTAAGAGCTACAGCTGCTAACCAAAAGGTCAGCAGTTCAAGTCCACCAGGTGCTCCTTGGAAACCCTATGGGGCAGTTCCACCCTGTCCTATAGGGTCACTATGAGATGGAATTGACTCGATGGCAATGGGTTTGTTTGTTTGTTTTTATATTGGATCAAAGCAACGAAAGCAACTCAAAAGCTTAGACAGGAACCTTAGGGGGCAGTGAGTTTGTGTTAATGGAGGAAGAAGAACTCAGAAAAGGAGTGAGAGTGGTTGCACAACTCAAAGAATGTAATAATAGCACTGAATTGTACATGTAGATAAAGTTGAATTGATGTATGTTTTGCCGTGTATGTTCTCAACAACAACAACAAGATGAATTTTTTTTAAAAATGCTGTGGGTTGCAATTCTACTCGATGAGTTGGAATCAATTCGAAGGCAACTGGTTTGGTTAATCATTAAAATAGGATTTTAGTTCAAGGAAGTGTATACAATGGAAAAAATATCCATTGAAAAATCTTTAAATATCATAAATAACATTTAATTAATTAAAACTATCCCTAAATACTTAATAAACACTTATGTAGTGCTGTTCATGTGATAAGCACTGATCTGTGCATCTTAGATAAATAATTTCATTTCATCCTCAAAACACCACTTCCACTAGTATTACCATTTTATAGGTGAGGAATCTGGGCCACAGGGAAGTTAAGCAACTTGCTGAAGCTCATACCACCATTAAAAGATAGTCAAGATTCCAACTGAAACAGATTGACTCTAAAACATCATGCTATGCTGCTCCTGATGTTTAAGGATATACCTAACATAGAAAATGGAAAAGAAGAATCTAGAAATCAAAGATGAAAAACACCCACATTAACAAATATATTTCATCCAGAATATGTTATTAATGTGTAGACATTGACATCATTTGGAGTGAGAACTGCTGCCCTCCTATATATCAAACTCTGTCATTTAATTTGATTCTGACAAATTGGATATTGCTTTGACAACCATTTTTCAGGTTATAAACTATTTTGTCATATCATTATAAATGTTGATTATTTTTAATTTTACTTCCTACCAGACTATTACAACTTAAAGTCTAGATGTTATCTTTATACCTGGTGATAATAGCCAACAGAATGTATCAAAGACAATATGTAGAAAAAGTTCTTTTTCTTGGCACACAGAAGTTTATATCAATTAGTGTACTAAAGGGTTTATTTTTCTGTGTCAGTGGGAACAACTGGTTTATTTATTGTATGTTTAAAGTCTAACTCCATAAATAGTATCTTCCAGATAAGACAAATCCCTCCTGCTCGCATTTTCTAAAATCAAATACATTTACATTTCCTTGAAGATGGTAAACTTTAGAATCAATACTTGCATCTCTTTGTTTTTTATCATCTTCTTTGTTGTTGTTGTTGTCGTCTTTCTGCTGGCTTGTGTTTATATCCATTTTTAAGTTTTGCTCCTTTAATGCTTTCATATGCACCCTTCAAAGATGAGCATTAAAAATAATGGTTCCTCAATCAAGACAGGATTGAAAATGGCTTCCAGTCTATAGTACACAAAGTTTTAGTTGTCTTTTCTTACTAATAGTTGATGCACATGACTAGAAAGGACAGGGAAAAAAGTTTTGCCTGTGTTTCTATGTGACTCATAAGAAGTTATTTAACAGTTAACAGAATATCAAAGTGCTGACAAGGAAAATGCAATGGGAAAAGGAGAAAAACAGTACAATAAGAAAGAAAGAAGGAAAAAACTGTTGATTAAAACATCTTATAGACTGTCTGAACAATGGTTATGCTTTTAAGCACGTTTGAAAACTATAAAATACGTTAGCTCAGAACATTAGCCATCCAGCCAATTGATGGCCAGTGTTCCTCAGCCCTAATGATGGTTGACTGTTGAGCACTTAGTGACATTACAGTACATTGATGTGATTATATCAACATGGTTGGGAAAGTTACTATGAAGCTTCAAAGTAAAAGCCTATTAAAAATCTTTTTGGCAATCACAACTTTAGAAAAGAGAAGACCAATTATAAGAAGGGATTTGAGGGGTTCAAATAAAATGTCCTGAGGCATTAATGTTCAGAGATGCGTTCTTTTAGGGAAATCTGATGCAATTGTCACTTTTAAAACATAATATTACAATCTTATTTTTTCAAAGCTAATACTTATAATGAAGTATCAATCCTACTATTGCTGCTGAGTTTCTTTTAAAGGATTTAAACATTATGACAATTATTCCATTAAAAGTTATCAAAGGAAAAATATTGAGTACTTTTCATCTTAGCATATTTTAGTGCCCTCTAGTGTGCAGAAATTAACACTAGAATTTCTTTTTCTAAACTATGTAATTGTTTTAAAAATGCAAGATTTTAAAAAAATGTATGAATTGGGTAAAAGAAATTGTTTGGAAAGAAAATTAGAGCCAGATGTCAGTTCAACCCAAATATAAACCCCAGCGAAATCCACTTTTTTTTTCTACTTTTGTTCAATTCAGATTAAACAGAACCTCTTCCATTTCTCTTTGAGCACCAGACTGTATGTCTCCATTTGCATAACCCATCTTGAGATTTCAGAAGTTCAGGCAAGCTATACTGTGTCTTCTGCCCTTCCTAATATTGTGAGTTCCATCTTCTCTCTTGGGTGCATTTATGAAGCAGTGTATGCATATTATTAAAATGCATGTATTTTCTGAATCTCCTATCCTCTAGACACATTGAAACATGTGATATTTTACGAGGGTACTTGATTAGTGCCAAGTAAAAGAGTCTAAGCTAAAGCCTCCTGCTACTTCTACAGAGAGATAGTTTTTAAAACAAAGATGGGATATTGAGGAGATACAGCTATTCAAAAGAAATGCAGAGTCTGTGAAGGATAAACAGAAGAGGTTTGGGCAAAAAAGAAAATTAAAAAAAAAAAAATTAAGTTTAGAAAATCATTTTGGGGGAGGCTATTTGAACTTAACTTCAAATCCAGTGATAGATCCATCAACAGCATTTAGACAATTATTCTTTACCCACTGATGGACAAAATCAACCAATAGGCTTTATGCATTGAAAAGATATAGTGGAGCCTGTCTCCTAGAATTGTTTTAATTTTCTGTGGTGAATCTATTACTTCTGAATAAGAATGTGTTATGATACAGACCATAGCGTAGTTCATACTACTAAGCAATTTGAGAAGGCCTTTCAGAACTGACTTATATCACCTTTTCTCTCTCTGTCTCTATACATATATATATTTAAGTGAACAACAGCAAAATTGAGTGTTTCCATACTGCTTTGTGGTTTTCAATACTATAAAAGTTCCACTAAAGTTCAAGAACGATTGTTGAATATTCAGGGGGACCTCCAAAATGCCAGGTAATGATATTTTATTTGGCAATGCTATACTCTTAATGTGATTGAAATTGTATGAACAATGATCTCTGTAAAATTCACAGAGGACTATCTTGTCTTTGTATTTTGGAAAGTCTCCTACATGTTTCCTACATGTGGCTTTGGGATGAAGTCATAATATTGAGGGATTGTAGCATTGGAGGAAAACTAAACAATTCCACCAATTTTAAATAAAAATTGAGTTTATCCTTTAGTATTTTTTGGATAAAATATTAATAAGCATGTTATTCAGCTAATTTTCCAATTATTCTGAATCAATACAACTCTGTATTTTAGCACACATTTTATAATATATTAGCCAGAACACACTGTTTTCCTAATTTGTACAAAAATTAATACACATGAATGCAGTGCTAGCAGGTGACTTAAACATCCTAGTTTTTTCACTCAACAGCTTGGACAAGTGAGGAATTACGGGTATACCCACTGTTAAAATTAATAGCTGCAATGGTAGCATCTGTATCCACTTTTGTAAATTCCCTGGAGCAACAATTTCATGTACTCTTACATTTGTTTACATACACCATTCCTCTACTCCCAGATGTATGAGCATATGTGAAATATGGACAGCCATGAATGCAAACAAGTTTTTTTTTTTTTTTTGGTACCCGAAGCACAAAATAGGAGGAATTCATGTTGGTTGTGTATAGACTATTCACGAGTTACTACAATGCTAGATGCTTTTACAGGCTTAATCTCTTTTATTTCTCACAATATTCATTTGAGATGGACAATATTACATTTATCTTAAAGACGAAAAAAACAAAGATTCAGGAAAAAAAAATCTCTCATGTATTGAGCTGTTTCTAGATGCCAGAAAATGTTCTAAAATCATTCCATACATAATTGTATTTAATCCTCATGACAATGCAAGGGGTAGGTTTTATGACTCCCATTTTACTGGTGAAACAACTGAAGCTTCAAGAGATCAAGTAGCTTGATCACATTTACATAGCTTTCAGGTAGTAGAACTGGGACTTTCTCCCAGATCAGTCTGATCCAAACGTTACTCTCCTAACTAGCATTAACAGGGTGTCCAGGAAAAAGAGGACAGCATTTCATTTCTTTGTTTTCCTAAGAACACATTGAAGACAGATACTAAATTGACTGCCCAGGTTTGTGAAAGTCAGACATCAAACAGGCATCCTTCTTACAGTGCTGAACATTAGGACTAGGACTTCTAGAGATGGCAAAGACAAATGCGCTCAAGCTTGACATGAAGTTATAACACTATCATTCTTAAAAGGAACAATGATTTAATGAGGAAATGCTAAGTAAGTCTTTTAAAGAAGAATGAGACCCACGTAAACAAAAAAGAACTAAATAAGTATGAATAGCGAAAAGAAAATTGCCTTTCAGAGAGATGGTAAACTTTATTCATCCTATACAGCCAGCTTTCAAACTCGTATTCTACTTCACATTCATGCTAGATTATTTTTATTTTCTAGACAGTGACATAATCTTTATAGCTTAAGATTTTATTTCTGGAATACCTCTGCCTGGAACCATTTCCTCT